TAGACTAGACTATAGACTAGACTATAGACTAGACTATAGACTAGACTATAGACTAGACTATAGACTAGACTATAGACTAGACTATAGACTAGACTATAGACTAGACTATAGACTAGACTATAGACTAGACTATAGACTAGACTATAGACTAGACTATAGACTAGACTATAGACTAGACTATAGACTAGACTATAGACTAGACTATAGACTAGACTATAGACTAGACTATAGACTAGACTATAGACTAGACTAGAGACTAGACTATAGATAGACTAGACTATAGACTAGACTATAGACTAGACTATAGACTAGACTATAGACTAGACTATAGACTAGACTATAGACTAGACTATAGACTAGACTATAGACTAGACTATAGACTAGACTATAGACTAGACTATAGACTAGACTATAGACTAGACTATAGACTAGACTATAGACTAGACTATAGACTAGACTATAGACTAGACTATAGACTAGACTATAGACTAGACTATAGACTAGACTATAGACTAGACTATAGACTAGACTATAGACTAGACTATAGACTAGACTATAGACTAGACTATAGACTAGACTATAGACTAGACTATAGACTAGACAATAGACTATACTATAGACTAGACTATAGACTAGACTATAGACTAGATTATAGACTAAGCTGTAGACTATACTATAGTCTAGATTTTAGACTTGAGTAGAAGACACCACCCTAATATTCTCCCTACCATATGTGTTTCGTATTGCAAAATCTATTTAATATGTTGCCCAAGAAAGGACTACAAAAAATTGCTTAAAATTCGATGTTAGACCAGTTGTTCCCTGGTAAGAAATATTAAAGGTCTACTGGTTGTTAGCATACCATACATACATGCCAGCAAATAATGAGTATGTGAATATATAAATTTGCTATTTTTCCGTAAAAAAAATTTATGAACAGGAAACCGCACCCAATTTTGGTTTCTGCTATACAAATCTTGTTTCTTGCTTTTACCCTTTTTTTCTCCAAAAATACAACTCGAAAATATGGGAATAACTGAAAAAATCCTAACAAAATTCTTATTATGCTTTAAGAGGCTACCAGCCTAGACCGACTACAGCAGTAGTATGAAAAGATATCCAAATGTTAAACATGTCCAAAAAAAGTTTCAATGAAACTTATGAGTGTTAAATGTGGGTAATGTGTCTGTACTATGATTCTACATGTGTGAGTTTGAAATATGTTTATGTGGAAGTGTGTTTTATGTGTTCTTCTCTGTGTACTTGGGTTTTCTGAGTTAAGGAAACTAATGGTCACAAAATGAAGTGCAAATCAAAGTTTTTGCCTGTGCTTATGTTGATTGCTTTGGCTTAACTTTTTACAAATATTTCTTCTTACTTATTATATTTGTAGTTAAAGGGTGTGGTTTTTCTTAGTTTTTTTTATGAATGCAAAAAGGAATTAAGAGTTTAAGTTTTATTTGTGGCGAAAAAATTTTCTATATATGCTTAACTTTTGGTTTAGAACTTTGTAGAGGAAATTTATGACTACTTTTTTTTGGGGTACCTAAAGGGTTTTTGGTTAAATATAACTTTTGTTTATAAACATGATGGCTAAAATAAATATAAGATAAAATTCTTATAATTAAAATGAAATATAAAGTATTAGAATAATAAGTTACAATTACATAAAGAGAGGCAGTAGTAGAGAAACAAATTATAATTACATCTAACATTGGATAAAATTAATATCAAATAAACCAAAAGGAGTACAGACGAGATTTGCTTGGCTGGTTTTGAAACGGAACTAGAGCCGTATTTAAAGTTAGTTAGTTAGTTAGTTAGTTAGTTAGTAGTTAGTTAGTTAGTAGTTAGTTAGTTAGTTAGTTAGTTAGTTAGTGTTAGTTAGTTAGTTAGTTAGTTAGTTAGTAGTAGTTAGTTAGTTAGTTAGTTAGTATAGTAGTTAGTAGTTAGTTAGGTAGTAGTTAGTAGTAGTAGTAGTTAGTAGTTAGTTAGTAGTTAGTTAGTAGTTAGTTAGTTAGTTAGTTAGTAGTTAGTTAGTTAGTTAGTTAGTTAGTTAGTTAGTTAGTTAGTTAGTTAGTTAGTAGTTAGTTAGTTAGTTAGTTAGTTAGTTAGTTAGTTAGTTAGTTAGTTAGTTAGTTAGTTAGTAGTTAGTTAGTTAGTAGTAGTTAGTTAGTTAGTTAGTTAGTTAGTTGTTAGTTAGTTAGTTAGTTAGTTAGTTAGTAGTTAGTAGTTAGTTAGTTAGTCGTAGTTAGTTAGTTAGTTAGTTAGTTAGTTAGTTAGTTAGTTAGTTAGTTAGTTAGTAGTTAGTTAGTTAGTTAGTTAGTTAGTAGTAGTTAGTAGTTAGTTAGTTAGTTAGTTAGTTAGTTAGTTAGTAGTTAGTTAGTTAGTTAGTTAGTTAGTTAGTTAGTTAGTTAGTTAGTTAGTTAGTTAGTTTGTTTGTTTGTTGTTGTTTGTTTGTTTGTTTGTTATTGTTACTTAGTTAGTTGGTTTACAATACTGGGACTATAAACTAGACTATAGACTAGACTATTTACCAGACTATTTACTAGACTATAGACTAGACTATAGAATAGACTATAGACTATACTATAGACTAGACTATAGAGTAGACTATTTACTAGACTACAAACTATATAATAGTCTAGTCTATAGTCTAGACTATAGACTAGACTATAGACTAGACTATAGACTAGACTATTGACTAGACTATAGACTAGACTATAGACTAGACTATAGACTAGACTATAGACTAGACTATAGACTAGACTATAGACTAGACTATAGACTAGACTATAGACTAGACTATAGACTAGACTATAGACTAGACTATAGACTAGACTATAGACTAGACTATAGACTAGACTATAGACTAGACTATAGACTAGACTATAGACTAGACTATAGACTAGACTATAGACTAGACTATAGACTAGACTATAGACTAGACTATAGACTAGACTATAGACTAGACTATAGACTAGACTATAGACTAGACTATAGACTAGACTATAGACTAGACTATAGACTAGACTATAGACTAGACTATAGACTAGACTATAGACTAGACTATAGACTAGACTATAGACTAGACTATAGATAGACTATCGACTAGACTATAGACTAGACTATAGACTAGACTATAGACTAGGACTATAGACTAGACTATAGGACTAGACTATAGACTAGACTATAGACTAGACTATAGACTAGACTATAGACTAGACTATAGACTAGACTTAGACTAGACTATAGACTAGACTATAGGACTAGACTATAGACTAGACTATAGACTAGACTATAGACTAGACTATAGACTAGACTATAGACTAGACTATAGACTAGACTAAGACTAGACTATAGACTAGACTATAGACTAGACTATAGACTAGACTATAGACTAGACTATAGACTAGACTATAGGACTAGACTATAGACTAGGACTATAGACTAGACTATAGACTAGACTATAGACTAGACTATAGACTAGATAGACTAGACTAAGACTAGACTATAGACTAGACTATAGACTAGACTATAAGACTAAGACTAGACTATAGACTAGACTACTAGACTATAGACTAGACTATAGACTAGACTATAGACTAGACTATAGACTAGACTATAGACTAGACTAAAGACTAGACTATAGACAGACTATAGACTAGACTAAGACTAGGACTATAGACTAGACTATAGACTAGACTATAGACTAGACTATAGACTAGACTATAGACTAGACTATAGACTAGACTATAGACTAGACTATAGACTAGACTATAGACTAGACTATAGACTAGACTATAGACTAGACTATAGACTAGACTATAGACTAGGACTATAGACTAGACTATAGACTAGACTATAGAAAGAGACTAGACTATAGACTAGACTATAGACTAGACTATAGACTAGACTATAGACTAGACTATAGACTAGACTTAGACTAGACTATAGACTAGACTATAGACTAGACTATAGACTAGACTGTAGACTAACTATAGACTAGGACTATAGACTAGACTATAGACTAGACTATAGACTAACTATAGACTAGAGTATAGGACAAGATTATAGACTAAACTATAGACTAGTGTTATAGACTAGACTAGACTATAGACTAGAGTATAGACTATACTATAGACTAGACAGTAGATTAGACTAGACACTATAAACTACACTTTACCTACATCTCTGGTTTGGCTGCTGCACTAACTGTCGTGTTTGTAAACAATTGCTCTGGAAGTTGTATTTCTACATCAACTTAAAGTCTTCCTCTTAGATTTAGTTTTAAATTCCTTTTTAAAGTCTCAGATCCAGTGAATGGTCATGTCGCATTAATGTTCCTAAATAAAAAAGGATTTCTTTTTAAATGTTAAGGAAATTTCCTCCGAAGATATTCCCTTAATATCCCACTTTCATAGCAATTTAAAAGTAGATTTGTTTCAAATATAACAAACTTTATATTCTTCTACCACTACGGAAGTTAAACCAAACATTTATTCCTTAAAAAACGAAAAGGACAAGATTGTAACAAACAGCTTGTTTATCAAATTGTTTTGCATATAAAATAAAAATATTATCCCTGTTTTAAATTTAGCATAAATAAATATGTTAAGGAACAAAAAAAAATTCATCCACAAAAAATATGCAAATCACGGGAAATGATAAAAAAATCTGCCCTTAAAATACCCGCTCATACATAATAAAACATAAAGGTAGCCACGTCCTTAAAAAAGGAATATGTTTAAAGGAAGAGTATCATAAAAAACTTACTAAATAAAGATATCCGTTGGATGTAAGGGTTAACATCCTATCAAAGGATAACAGCAGCAGCATAACATAAGCTTTTTTGCGAACTAAAAACTATGATATAATTTTTTGGGAAAAACAAGGGTTAAAGGAAAAATGTGAACAAAATTTAAATTTTAAATCATAACAAAAAAATACATAAATTTATATTTAAACTAATTTTTTTTATAAATTTTTTCTCTTTACAGATCAAATTATTAGCGAACAGGAGGGTAAAACAGTTATAGTGCCATGTCCTGTAAACAAGGATAAATGCGGTGAATTACATTCATTGAATTGGTTTAAAGGTGACAATCGTATAGCTGCCATGCTGCTAGATGATTCAAATGTCACCAGTGTTGCTGAAGAATTTGAAGATAGGTGAGTTTGAGAACAACAATTTTTCATAAATTTCCTTAAAAAACTTTTAATTTTTTGTGTTTTGTTTGCTCCAGAGTTTCCGTTGAACAAAATCCATTTAGATTAATTATAAGAAATTTACAAATCTCTGATGAGGATATTTATTTATGTGATACAACATATTTTATACCAATTGAAACATGTGATAATTTCAATGGCCATCGTGTGGAATTGAATGTTTTAGGTAAGTTTTCTTAATTTGTAATTTTATTGATTTTTTTCTCAATTTTTTCTATTGTTCTTGTTTAAAAAAAAAAGTTATTTTTTTTTTAAATTTTGGCTTGTTTGTGGCTTTTTTCCAAAAATTTTAAGTTGCCTGCTTAATGTTTTCATTATAACTCCCAAAATGTTTGATAAATAAGAACTGCTCTTACTCCAACTTTATACTATTCCCTGTATTTTAAAATTCCGTCAAAAAGCATGTATAAATCCTATGAATTGAATATATTTTTATATGAAAATAAAAAAAATGCGTTGTTTGTTTTTATGTCTTGTCATTTGCATGTACATATTTTTTAAGAAATAATCCATTGGTTTGTCTTGTTATCCAAAAAAATATAACTGTTATTTCTACTTTTTCAAATGCTAATTTTCTATTTTTGTTTTGAATTATTTTGCTTTTTCTTGTTCAAAAACTAATTGGTAAGAAAACTTAAAATCACTACTATTTTTTTTTCTAAAATAAAGCACTAATTGAGAACCTATCTTCGTAAATCAGCAAATTTGCAACATAATTCAGAATAAAAAAAAACTAGAAGAGAACAGAACTAGAAGAGAACAGAACTAGAACAGAACTAGACAGAAATAGAACAGAACCAGACAGAAATAGACAGAACTAGAACAGAACTAGAACAGAACTAGAACAGAACTAGAACGAACTAGAACAGAACTAGAACAGAACTAGAACAGAACTAGAACAGAACTAGAACAGAACTAGAACAGAACTAGAACAGAACTAGAACAGAACTAGAACAGAACTAGAACAGAACTAGAACAGAACTAGAACAGAACTAGAACAGAACTAGAACAGAACTAGAACAGAACTAGAACAGAACTAGAACAGAACTAGAACAGAACTAGAACAGAACTAGAACAGAACTAGAACAGAACTAGAACAGAACTAGAACGGAACTAGAACAGAACAAGAACAGAACAAGAACAGAATTAGAACAGAACTAGAACAGAATTAGAACAGAACTAGAACAGAAAAAACAGAACTAGAACAGAACTAGAACAGAACTAGAACAGAACTAGAACAGAACTAGAACAGAACTAGAACAGAACTAGAACAGAACTAGAACAGAACTAGAACAGAACTAGAACAGAACTAGAACAGAACTAGAACAGAACTAGAACAGAACTAGAACAGAACTAGAACAGAACTAGAACAGAACTAGAACAGAACTAGAACAGTAGAACAGAACTAGAACAGAACTAGAACAGAACTAGAGCAGAACTAGAACAAACTAGAACAGAACTAGAACAGAACTAGAACAGAACTAGAACAGAACTAGAACAGAACTAGAAACAGAACTAGAACAGAACTAGACAGAACTAGAACAGAACTAGAACAGAACTAGACAGAACTAGAACAGAACTAGAACAGAACTAGAACAGAACTAGAACAGAACTAGAACCAGAAACTAGAACAAGAACTAGAACAGAACTAGAACAGAACTAGAACAGAACTAGAACAGAACTAGAACAGAACTAGAACAGAACTAGAACAGAACTAGAACAGAACTAGAACAGAACTAGAACAGAACTAGAACAGAACTAGAACAGAACTAGAACAGAACTAGAAACAGAACTAGAACAGAACAGAACTAGAACAGAACTAGAACAGATCTAGAACAGAACTAGAACAGAACTAGAACAGAACTAGAACTAGAACTAGAATAGAACAGAACAGAACAGAACAGAACAGAACTAGAATGGAACTAGAACAGAACTAGAACAGAACTAGAACAGAACTAGAACAGAACTAGAACACACTAGAACACAACTAGAACAACTAGAACAACACAACTAGAACACAACTAGAACACAACTAGAACACAACTGGAACACAACTAGAACACAACTAGAACACAACTAGAACGCAACTAGAACACAACTAGAACCCAACTAGAACACAACTAGAACACAACTAAAATAGAACTAGAACTTTCACGACCATTAAACACTCGAGTAATTCCCTTCTGATCCTCGATAAGGGTTGTTTAACCTTGTCAGCGAATACGTAAGCCACTGTTATTGTTAACCAGCTCTTTATACCCTACACCACTTTAGTGGGGAGTGTATACTGGGTTGGTGCTGATGTTTGTTACGCACAATAATATTGGTCCTTTACCTTTTATAGAACAGAACTTTATAGAACAGAACTAAACAGAACTAGAACAGAACTAGAACAGAACTAAAACAGAACTAGAACAGAACTAGAACAGAACTAGAACAGAACTAGAACAGAACTAGAACAGAACTAGAACAGAACTAGAACAGAACTAGAACAGAACTAGAACAGAACTAGAACAGAACTAGAACAGAACTAGAACAGAACTAGAACAGAACTAGAACAGAACTAGAACAGAACTAAAACAGAACTAGAACTAGAACAGAACTAAAACAGAACTAGAACAGAACTAAAACAGAACTAGAACACTCACGACCATTAAACACTCGATTAATTCCGTTGTGATCCTCGATTAGTGTTGTTCAACCTTGCCAGCGAATACGTGATCCCCCTCAAAATTTGACTTAAATATCTGAGGCAAGGTGGTGTAGGGAATTATAGGGTGGGTCTCGCCCGATTATAATTTCTTACTTGTTTAAAGAATGTCTTTGTTATTTTGCCTTCTGCATTACAAGTGTCATACACAGTAACTTTTGCAAAAGAATTTACTCTTTTAGTAAAGAATAAAAGACTTAATTTTTTTATCCCTAATAGCAAGATCACTGCCGGATACATTTTTGAGAAAAAAAACAAGTTAGAGTGCTATATTCGGCTGAGCCGAATCTTAGATACCCTCCACCAGCAACTTTTGTATTAATACATTTCTAATTAATAAAATATTTGTAGAAATAAGTTTTCTCATGTCTTAAATAGAAAAATCCCAAGATTTAAACAGCTTAAATCTACTACAATTCCAAGATTTATTGAACATTAGAAACGCCACTTTCATTTAAATTTTTATAGCGCCCTAAGATATGCTTTAGCGATATCTCGTATTTGCATGTATGCATGTGTGTGAAAGATTTAAGGATTTTAAAAATACATACATATATATATAATTTTGTTCTACACAAATTGATAATGCAAATAGTTAAATACGGTTAAAGCGCTTTTAGGGGCAGGACCTAGTATGAGAGATATGACCAAACATAGATCGATCGTGAAAATTTTTTGAAATAGCATTAAGTGCTTTTTGCATTACAAAATAGTATTTATGAACAAAAATAGTATTTATTTATATCATTATTTGGTAATGAGTTATGTGCCTTTAAGTGTTTTTCTGAAAGGGACCTTGTATGGGAGCTATGATCAATTATGGATCGATAGGAAAACAATTTCACAGTAATATTTCTCTGTATATGAGCAATATTTTTGCCAAACTTTATATGGATATCTTAATTTAGTAATGAGTTATGTGCGTTTAAGTGATTTTCGGGAGGGGACCTTGTATGGGAGCTATGACGAGTTATGGACCGATCGGAAAAAAAATTATCTGTAATATTTCTGTGCATATGAGTAATATTTGTACCATATGGGTATCTTAATTACGTAATGAGTTATGCGCGTTTAAGTGATTTTCGGGAGGGGACCTTGTATGGGAGCTATGACCAATTATGGACCGATCGAAAAAAATTTCACAGTAATATTTCTATGCATATGGGCAATACTTATACCAAATTTTATATGGATATCTTAATTTAGTACTGAGTTATGCGCGTTTAAGTGATTTTCGGGAGGGGACCTTGTATGGGAGCTATGACCAATTATGGACCGATCGGAAAAAACTTTCACAGTAATGTTTCTATGCATATGGGCAATACTTACACCAAACTTTATTTGTATATCTTAATTTAGTAATAAGTTATGCGCGTTTAAGTGATTTTCGGGAGGGGTCCTTGTATGGGAGCTTTGATCAATTATGGACCGATCGGAAAAAAATTTCACAACAATATTTCTGTGCATATGAGTAATATTTGTACCAAATTTTATATGGATATCTTAATTTAGTTATGAGTTAAGCGCGTTTAAGTGATTTTCGGGAGGGGACCTTGTATGGGAGCTATGACCAATTATGGACCGATCAGAAAACAATTTCACAGTAATATTTCTATGCATATGGGCAATACTTGTACCAAATTTTATTTGGATATCCTAATTTAGTAATGAGTTATGCGCGTTTAAGTGATTTTCGGGAGGGGACCTTGTATGGGAGCTATGATCAATTATGGACCGATCGGAAAAAAATTTCACAACAATATTTCTGTGCATATGAGTAATATTTGTACCAAATTTTATATGGATATCTTAATTTAGTTATGAGTTAAGCGCGTTTAAGTGATTTTCGGGAGGGGACCTTGTATGGGAGCTATGTCCAATTTAATTTGTAAAATTTTGTGAAGATATCGACATTGTGGCGGAAGTTATTAACAAAAAACCCATTTTCCGGGAATATGTACTTTTGTATGGGAGGTATATGAAATTGTGGACCGATTCTGACAATTTTCAGCAGGGATCAAGATCTTGTGCAGAAACGAATGTATGGTGATTTCCATGGAATTATCTTGTATAGTTTTCGAGAAAACTACATCAGAATGTGTAAAAAATGCTTATTTTTTTCGAGGTTGTTTTAAATTTTGATTCATAACTTTTCCCGGTGTGAACCGATTTTGCCCATTTGCAATACCAAACAACTTAGGAAAATGAAGAACATTTTGGGTGAATTTGGTTAAGCTCTATTGCTTCGTTTTATCGTGAGCGTGTTTTACACAGACAGACGGACAGACGGACATAGCTAAATCGACTCAGAATTTGATAAGGACCCAGAATATATATACTTTGTTGGGTCTCAGATGAATATTTCTTGGTGTTACACACGGAATGACAAAGTTATATATACCCTCTATCACCACTGATGGTGGTGGAGGGTATAAAAAATAATAGGCTGATTGCACGTTACCTAATGAACATTATTTGACTCTCAATTAGTGCTTTATATATATTTTTTTGTAAATAATTCCCCCAAAAACTTTTTTGCAAATTAATTTCGTTCAAATTTTTGCATTACTGCATTTAAAATTTTTTTTTTGTTTGTTTTATAACATTTCTGTAAAATTGCAAAAAATTCTAAAAAAAATAAAATTATTTCCACTGTTTGTTTACTAATTCATTCATTAACTAAACTAATTAAAAGTTAATAAAAAAAAACAAAACTCATTATAAAACATTTTTAACTGATTGTTTTCTTAATACAATTCCCCCTCTTTTCCTACCAAAAAAAAAAATACTTTTAAACCAAAACTAAAAAAACCGCTCGCTCGTCAACGCATCATCATGGATTTATGCAACTAAATATTAAAAACAAAATAATATTTTATTATTATTATGAAAAAAAAACTAAACTCACACAACAAAAAATTTTAAATAAAAACCATCATCCATTGTCATAATAAACACATTGAATGTATGATTATTTTTATATTTAACAACTAACTCAAAAAAAAAAAATTAATTGAAAACTATAAAAAATGCTTTAAAAAAAAATTATTAATAAAACATAAAAAAATCTACCATAAAAAATACCGTAGAAAACCTGGGTAAATTTATGTTTTTTTAATTTAAAAACAAACCAATTTTATGATTTTTACTTTAAAAATTAACCTAAAAAACTAAATAAAAAGAGAAAAAATTTTCTATAACACAATTATTTAAAAAATTATTTAAAATTTAAATTTAATTTTTAAGTTTTACTTATTATTTTCCAACTAATAACAGAATTTAAATTTAGTTTTAAAAAAATGTTTAATCATCAAAAAATTAATATAAATTTATTTTAAACTTTTTTTATATAAAAACCAAATAAAACCAAAACATCACTTACACTAAACACTTTATAAAAAACCTCCACACTTTACACTGAAAAAAATTACACTGTTAAAAAAAATTAAAAAAAAAAATAACTACATCTACTGTGTAAAAAACATAAAAACTATAAAAAAATAGTGCCACCTTCGGAGGTTGTGATTTTGGACGAGAAAGGAGATCGTATAGAAAATGGCAGCATTGTTGGACCCATGCAGGAGCGACAAACTTTAAAGGCCACTTGTATAGTTAAGAATACCAGGCCACAACCACAAGTAGGCTGGTGGCGGGGGAATAAGCGATTGACCACACGTGAGTATATTTATTTTCTATCAACTTTTTTTTAAATTTTAAGAGAAATTCCTTTAAGATAAAAAGAAATCTCGTAAAAAGTTTAATTGATTTTTAGACAAAAAAAGAAAATATTAAATTACTTTGAATTTAACAAACATGATTTTAAACTTAGATAAAGATAAGCGAAAAAGGGTTGCTGAAAATTTATGTCGTTTTCTTCTATTCCACTTTTTCATGCTTTTTACCTTATGAATAATGTACCGACATTATTTTGCTTGATTTTCTTAAGAAAATTAAGACATTTCTTACAAATGCAAAAACAAACATTAATACGAGACAAAGTCTACCCTACACCAATACATCTAGTTCAGTTCTATTTCTCTTCTAGTTCTGTTCTAGTTCTGCTCTAGTTTCTGTTCTAGTTCTGTTCTAGTTCTGTTCTAGTTCTGTTCTAGTTCTGTTCTAGTTCTGTTCTAGTTCTGTTCTAGTTTCTAGTTCTTCTAGTTCTGTTCTAGTTCTGTTCTAGTTCTGTTCTAGTTCTGTTTCTAGTTCTGTTCTAGTTCTGTTCTAGTTCTGTTCTAGTTCTGTTCTAGTTCTGTTCTAGTTCTGTTCTAGTTCTGTTCTAGTTCTGTTCTAGTTCTGTTCTAGTTCTGTTCTAGTTCTGTTTCTAGTTCTGTTCTAGTTCTGTTCTAGTTCTGTTCTAGTTCTGTTCTAGTTCTGTTCTAGTTCTGTTCTAGTTCTGTTCTAGTTCTGTTCTAGTTCTGTTCTAGTTCTGTCTAGTTCTGTTCTAGTTCTGTTCTAGTTCTGTTCTAGTTCTGTTCTAGTTCTGTTCTAGTTCTGTTCTAGTTCTGTTCTAGTTCTGTTCTAGTTTGTCTAGTTCTGTTCTATCGTTCTAGTTCTGTTCTAGTTCTGTTCTAGTTCTGTTCTAGTTCTGTTCGTTCTGTTCTAGTTCTGTTCTAGTTCTGTTCTAGTTCTGTTCTAGTTTTTCTAGTTCTGTTCTAGTTCTGTTCTAGTTCTGTTCTAGTTCTGTTCTAGTTCTGTTCTAGTTCTGTTCTAGTTCTGTTCTAGTTCTGTTCTAGTTCTGTTCTAGTTCTGTTCTAGTTATGTTCTAGTTCTGTTCTAGTTCTGTTCTAGTTCTGTTCTAGTTCTGTTCTATTCTGTTTAGTTCTGTTCTAGTTCTGTTCTAGTTCTGTTCTAGTTCTGTTCTAGTTCTGTTCTAGTTCTGTTCTAGTTCTGTTCTAGTTCTGTTCTAGTTCTGTTCTAGTTTCCTGTTTCTAGTCTGTTCTAGTTCTGTTCTAGTTCTGTTCTAGTTCTGTTCTAGTTCTGGTTCTAGTTCTGTTCAGTTCTGTTCTAGTTCTGTTCTAGTTCTGTTCTAGTTCTGTTTTAGTTTTCCTGTTCTAGTTACTGTTCTCGTTCGTTTCTAAGTTCTGTTCTAGTTCTGTTCTTAGTTCTTTTCTCGTTCTGTTCTAGTTCTGTTCTAGTTCTGTTCTAGTTCTGTTCTCGTTGTTATAGTTCTTGTCTAGTGCTGTTTAGTTCTGTTATAGTTATGTTTCTAGTCTGTTCTCGTTACTTGTTTCTTCTGTTCTCGTTCTGTTCTAGTGTTGTTCTAGCTTCTGTTCATAGTATTTGTTCTAGTTTCTGTTCTGTTCTGTTCGAGTCTGTCTAGTTTGTTTGTCTGTTAGTTCTGTTCTAGTTCTGTTTAAGTTCTTTTAGTTCTGTTCTATAGTTCTGTTCTCGTTATGTTAAGTTCTTGTTCAGTTCTGTTTCTAGTTCGTTCTAGTTTGTTCTAGTTCTGTTCAGTCTGTTCTAGTTCTGTTCTGAGCTCTGTTCTAGTTTTTTTCTAGTTCTGTTCTAGTTCTGTTCTAGTTCTGTTCTAGTTCTGTTCTAGTTCTGTTCTAGTTCTGTTCTAGTTGTTCGAGTTCTGTTATAGTTCTGTTCTAGTTCTGTCTAGTTCTGTTCTAGTTCTGTTCTAGTTCTGTTATAGTTCTGTTCTAGTTCTGTTCAGTATGTAGTCTGTTCTAGGCCTTTCGTTCTAGTTCTGTTCTGCTCTGTTCTAGTTCTGTTCTATTCTGTTCTAGTTCTGTTCTGAGTTTGTCTAGTCTGTTCTAGTTCTGTTCTAGTTCTGTTCTAGTATGTTCTAGTTTGTTCTAGTTCTGTTCTAGTTCTGTTCTAGTTCTGTTCTAGTTCTGTTCTAGTTCTGTTCTAGTTCTGTTCTAGTTCTGTTCTAGTTCTGTTCTAGTTCTGTTCTAGTTCTGTTCTAGTTCTGTTCTAGTTCTGTTCTAGTTCTGTTCTAGTTCTGCTCTAGTTCTGTCTCTAGGTTCTAGTTCTGTTCTAGTTCTGTTCTAGTTCTGTTCTAGTTCTGTTCTAGTTCTGTTCTAGTTCTGTTCTAGTTCTGTACTAGTTCTGTTCTAGTTCTGTTTCTAGTTCTGTTCTAGTTCTGTTCTAGTTCTGTTCTAGTTCTGTTCTAGTTCTGTTTTAGTTCTGTTTATAGTTCTGTTCTAGTTCTGTTCTAGTTCTGTTCTAGTTCTGTTCTAGTTCTGTTCTAGTCTGTTCTAGTCTATTTAGTTCTGTTCTAGTTCTGTTCTAATCTGTTCTAGTTCTGTTCTAGTTCTGTTCTAGTTCTGTTCTAGTTCTGTTCTAGTTCTGTTCTAGTTCTGTCTAGTTCTGGTTCTAGTTCTGTTCTAGTTCTGTTCTGGCTCTGTTCTAGTTCTGTTCTAGTTCTGTTCTAGGCTCTGTTCTAGTTCTGTTCTAGTTCTGTTCTAGTTCTGTTCTAGTTCTGTTCTAGTTCTGTTCTAGTTTCTGTTCTTAGTTCTGTTCTAGTTCTGTTCTAGTTCTGTTCTAGTTCTGTTCTAGTTCTGTTCTAGTTCTGTTCTAGTTCTATGGTTATTCTAGTTTAGTTTTCTTTCTAACTTTTTAAAATTTTCATCTATATTACGCAATCTTAAGAGAATTTTTAAAGTAGCATTCACTTAAAGTCGTTAATTTATATTTGCCTTTACTCTTTAAACTCTTCTAATAACTCATCACCTTTATAATTTATTTAAAAGCATTTTTAACAAATGAGATTAAAACGTTTTAAAATTTCTTTTATAATTTATTTTGTTCTTAAATTTTTTTATGCTCCAACCTTTAAAGCAATTTCTTCTTAAAAGTGTTAAATTATTGCGTGTTGATGTTTAACCTGCTGCTTAAGTAAACCTTTTTTTCGAAGGAATATCTAGGAATGGGTACAAATGAGCAGAAGAAGAAGTTTGTTTCCTGTTTAGTATATTGTTCAAGGGTCGTATTTTTTATAACCCTTTTGGTAATTAACAATTTGAATAGACAACTTTTAACATTTCCTGTTCATAATTGCCTATAAAAAAGTGTATACGAGTTAAGAAAAAAAAGTATTAAAGTTTTGTTTTCTTTTAATTGCCTTAAATAAATTTTTTACTTTAAAGTCTTGCTATTGGTGGTGGATGCAGGTTCCAATAAGGTTTTAAAAAAATGAAAACAAATAAATAAAAAACTTTTTGAAATATTGGTTAGGAGCAGAGAAGTAAAAGGTAATGAAATTTGTTTCTGTCAAAAGTTTAGAGAACAAAAATTAAGGGTCGTTTGTTATGAGAGTATAGAAATACATAAAATTGGAATTTTTCATAACTTTTGTGTATAAAAAATTTCTTAAAATTTATGCTTTTTATCATAAAAATTAATTTTTCTCTTTAGATTCTCCATCGTATGACGAAAAAGATGGTCTTTTCACAGCAACTTTAGAATTATCATTACAACTATCACGTGATGATTTGGGTCATAGTATAGAATGTCGTGCTGAATCGGCAGCCATACAAAGTACAATTAAAAATCACTTTAGTGTGGATTTGCAAGGTAAGTTTTTTTCATAAAATAAAACTAGAATAAAAAGCTTAAAGTCAACCACATGTAAATGACCACTAGTGTATGTTGGCTAAAACCACGATGTTATAATTACTCATTGCGATTTGAAATAATTTGCTGACATATAGGGAGAGTTTCGTGCTAAAACAAAATTTCACAAAGTTTAAATATTTTCAACAAATTTTTTTCATTGTTGAGCAATATTTGTACTTGTTACCTAATAATATGAAACTTTCCCTTTTTTACCCCCGGCACACAAAAAAAAGAAATGTCACCATAAATTAACACCTATAATTTATTTACATGTTTAGACAAAATTGACTTTAAACACATTTATTGAATAATTAAAGAGTAAATGGCAAATTAAAACAATTTCTATAAATATTGAATTATAATTATTATTTCCTTTTTCAACTACAATTACAGTAAGACCCACAACAGTGACCATAAATGGTGTGGAACATCATACGGTGCAAGGCAGTAAAGTTGTATTAAACTTGCGATGTAAGTATGAGAGAAAGAATTGAAGAAATATTTAAAAAAAAAATTATAAGGGAGCTACACTAGTTCCAAAAGCACTAGAATTAAACTAGAACTGAAGTGGAACTGCAATAACTGAACTAGAACTGAACTAGAACTGAACTAGAACTGAAACTAGAACTGAACTAGAACTGAACTAGAACTGAACTAGAACTGAACTAGAACGAACTAGAACTGAACTAGAACTGAACTAGAACTAGAACTGAACTAGAACCTGAAACTGAACTGACTAGAACTGAACAGAAC